AGCACCCCTTCCAGCTTGTCTATAGGCATGCTACTTCCGCCATGTGAGATTTTGATTGGAAGTGAGCGATATGAGCAAGGTAAATATCATGAAAGTTCACCAATATTTCTGGTTCTCCTCTCCTTCTAAGCACCAGGAGGATTGCACTTGTGGCCACGAGATTTGTTTTGATCAATGCAATGTGAGCAGAAGCCAGTACCCGTTTTCCCTCACTCTCTTGTGCCACAGTCAACTCTGAAGGTTCATATCAAGAAGGTGGCATCACTGTAAGATGGTGGAGCTTCCAAAAGCTTAGATCCTTGAGTGACCGCAGTGAGCAAGGCTCTTCTTCCCCGCTTCACCCATGCTGGAACTGTAGCTGAGCAAGAAATACATCTTTGCTATTTTAAGCCAGTAAGATCTGGGGGTTGTTTGTAACTACTGTGTTGCCTAACGAATTCTGACTGATGAAGAAAGGAGGCAGGTTGGACATAGGACTTCATTTTCGTATAGCGCAAGTATCTAGCTTTTGGGAATGGTAGTAGTAACAGCATTGGTTTCCTAGTGGTTGCAGAACTGAGTTCTTAACACAGAAGTGCCGTAGAGCTTAGTATTTGGAGTGGTAATGACTGTGATTTCCTCATCAGGTTGTATGGTTTGGGTGTTGTTCCTAGAAACTTATCCTCAAGTCCATTTCCCTAGCCCTCCTAACGATTCTGAGCTAAGTAATATCTTTTTTTTTTCAGTACACAGGCCTCTCACTGTTGTGGCTTCTCCCGTTGCGGAGCACAGGCTCCAGACGCGCAGGCTCAGCAGCCATGGCTCACGGGCCCAGCCGCTCCGCGGCATGTGGGATCTTGCCGGACCGGGGCACGAACCCATGTCCCCTGCATCGGCAGGCAGACTCTCAACCACTGCGCCACCAGGGAAGCCCCTTAAGTAATATCTTTTAACAAATTCCTTTTATGCTTCAACTATCCAGTGGATTCTATTATTTGTGATAAAGAACTCTGACTGATAAAATTACTGTATTTAATAAATCACATGTTCCATCAATTATAAGAGGCAAGTTATTTGAATTACTAAATGAATAATATTACTAAAAAAAAGAGGCTTAAAAACTATGACATGCCATTAATTGTAAGACATATTCTGATTTCAGAGTTGTTTAAACTAGAAAAAAATGTGCCTTAGGATCAATGAAATATAGTATTAGCCAAAGGAGTTCTCCCCACCCCCCCACAGATGAGACTGACAGATGGCTGATTTTAAAAGAATAGTTGTAAAAGAATTGTATCATCTGGGAGGAAAAATAAAACCATACCCAATCCTCATAAATGCAGAGATCTGTGATTGCTCAATTCCAGGAAAATCCCTAAGACAACCACCAGAAAGTGTAGTGCTGAATAGTAGAGTACCCCACAGAGAAATCCTCCACAATGGTGCTCTCAGAGCACTGGGTAAGAAATCTTGTCTTTGTGGGCAAAACCTGGGGCAGCCAGATTGGCTGATGGAGGAACTCTGCAGCCAAAGAAGTGAGTCAACACACAGCTGCCAAGAGATTTCCTAGTCCCATCATTTTCATTGTTATTCATGGCCAAAATATTATAGACAATGTTCTGGATAGTGACCACTATACAATGCTTTCTTTTTACTCCATTTTATTCTCTATTTCTTCCATCTCTAAATATCAGGAGGTTTTGGGGGGGCGTGGGGAGGAGTGGTTTAAAGGTAGTTCAAAGGCAGTTCAAACAAAGGTAATGGGATTATTAGAAGCCATGTTCACACCCTATAGAGACCTGACTAGAACATGAAGGGAACCTAGGGAACCTATATACGAAGAATACTGGTCCTATGATATAACCTCCAGGAGCAGTAGCTGGATGTGTCATTGAGCTGCCCTCCACTGAAAAGGAAGTGAATTTATTGGCATATGTACAGTGAGATGGTTGGATTATATAGGTGAGGGCATTTTTGGAATCATACATATAGGGAAAAACTATGTTTGTGTTGGGCAAAGGATGGACTATAGTGAACAACTGCCATTCTGCTTTTTCAGAATCTCTCTTCTCCTCCTCCACTCACCCCAGTGTCCATGCAGTTATGATGTGGGTCGTGTTAGGCAATTTGCTCCTCATCGATCCCTTGGCCCCAGTTGATTGGTCCAGAGTTAAGCATCTAACTAAGCTGAGCCAATCAGAGTACTTCCTGAGAAATCTGCAAACTGCAACCAAGAAAACGAAGCCAGTGTCTTGTTGGATGCCTAGACATTAAGATTTTAAGCTATGGGATTGTCTGAAGTCTTGTTTATCACCCCGTGGACCAGAAGAGCATTGGAAGCCAGACTGGGGGTGGGGATGACAATGCTGGGGCAGGGCAGGGAACGGAAATGAAGGAGACAGGCAGAAAGTAAGAGAGATAAGTGGAGAGAGAATCTAATGGCTTTTGTGTCTATTAGTTCCAGTTGTTCTTGAGGCATCCTTGTCTTTAGGTTTCAGGTATCTGATTATAAATATATCTTTTTGTTTAAACCGGTTCCTATTCTTCTTGGGTGAGTTCTTCCACTTTTCTGGTTTGACTACTACTGTTTTGCTGAAACTCACACAATGTTATCCTCAGCCTGGACCTCTCTCCTGAACCTCAGACCTGTTTATCCAACTGTCTATTGAACATCTCAACTTGGGTGTCCAATTCGTACCTCAAATTCAACATATCCAAAAGAGAATTCATCACCTCCCCAACCCCAACCCTCAGTTGAAACTTACCCCTTCTCCTGTGTTCTCTATCTTAGTAAATAGCATCACGGTATCCCTATCACCAAGCTGGGAGTTATCCCAGACTTTTTCCTCCCTCTTACCCCCCCATATCCTATAGGTCTAGGTCTCTAAGTCCTGCCAGTTGTAGCTCTCCAATATTCTCAGTGCTTTCCTGTTCTCTCTACTCCTATTCCCCTACCTCATTTCAATGCCCTCTCATTACTTCTTGCCTTTACTCTCAAATGCCTTCAATCCTTCCTTCCACCCAGCAGCCCAAATCATCCTTCTAATTTCTGGATATGATCACATTTACTCCTCTGTTCAAAATTTCTTCAGTGGCTCCCCATGTCTTCAGGATAAAATCTGAACTCCAGCAGCTGGGTCATAAATTCACTCATATTACACTCAGATGTGCAATATTATTAGTCTTCTCTCTTTCCTAGAACTGATTTGATCTTGTTCACAATGCCCCCACCCTGCTGAGTAACAGGGGCAGGGGAAACTAAAATTAATCCACTCTGGTAAACTCAGGCAGGTCTAAAAATTTATTTTAGTCAGTCTCTAAGAAATTCAGTAGGTTTGGATGACTCAGTTTTTCAGGTTATTTTACCCTTCCCTTTCTCATTTTCAAGATAGCACTTGGTTTTATAGGGATCTCACTGGGGGAAGGGGCTCCTTACCCATGTGGTCCTTGGAGTTGTGTCACTTGGTATTTGCTAAGCTGTGGCTGGTCTGGTATAAATAGTGAATTACAATCCTGAGAGGTAGCTGTTACTAAAACCATTTTACAGATGAAGAAGCTGAGGCTAAAAGAGGTTGAGTAACTTGCTCCAAGATCACAAAGTTAGTTAAGTGGCAGAACCAGTAATCAACACCACCCTGATTCTGCTTGGCACTTGGATCTGCATCTAGAATTCCAGAGATAAGTTAACATCAGATTCGGGAGCACTGAGAGACTTCATGGTATAGCTTTAGAGCTGCGCTTATCCATGGGAGAATATGTCCAGTGGAATGAGAGAAGGGTCCATTCAGAACACTTAGGAATCACTTGCATATGAAGTAGGGTAGGAAGCCCTACCTGATAGCTCCTGCCCAAAGTGACCTTTCTCTTAGGAGAGCTTCTAGGATGGAGGAGTCGGGAGCTTCTAGGATGAAGAGTCATGCCTGGTCCTATTCCAGCCAGGGCTGAGCCATCCCTCGGAATACCCCATTCCTCTCTGTCCTAGGCTCCCCCATAGCAGGGTAAAGTACAAACCCCTGACCAGTACTGCGTGGGAACTCAATAAATGTACCAAAACAACTTATGTTGGCAGAGCTGCTCACACCTCCTGGGGCCAGGGAATGTGGAACCAACTACAGACCCTCTGAAGTGGGGATGCAGAGTCCACACCCAGGTGGGAGTGGACGTGCGGGAGTATAGGGGACTTCCAAGACCAGGAGGTTCGGTCTCCTCCCAGATATTGTATCCCAGTGCCTCCCTCCAGATGATGGGGACAGAGACCTCTCGCAGATATGGAAGGGTGGTCTCCCGGTAGAGGGGCAGGGCGGCTCTGGCCTTTCTCAGATGTTGGGTGTGCAGATCTTCCGGGTGTTGAAAGTGCAAGAAATCCCCGCAAGTAGGTGGGCCCCGCCCCCTCCCCCCCAGTGGAGTGATCCACACTGAGTAGCCCCTTCAGCCCTCTTCCCGCCCCCGTCCCCGCCTGCACAAGGGGCGGGCCGGTCTTCACACCGGCGCACAACCAATGGCAAGGGGGCCTGGCACGGCCAGCCAATTAAATGGCGGCAGCGGCGAGGGCTGGCTCCTCCTCCGACAGGCCGCCGGCCGCTGGCCTTCGAGAAGGCGGGGCTCTTTCC